GTCCTCAACTATTGTGTTAGAGACACGTTTAGTCCTCGACTTCAAGATTTCCCACATTTAGTCCCTGAGTATTGTCAAATTGACATTTTTAGTCCTACCATTATGATTTTTACACAATAAGTGGAGGACTAAAAATGTCACTATTATAATATTTGAAGGACTAAAAGTGTCACTTTTATGAAAGTTGAAGGACTAAATATGGAAATTTTCGAAGACGGGTACCAAGAGTGTCTCTAGCGCAATAGTTAAGAACTAAAAATGGAAAAAATCAAAGTTGAGTACCAAAAGTGTCAATGACATAATAGTCGGATGACTAAAAGTGGAAAAACTCTATATTCGGCACTATTATGAAAAAATCATCATCAGACATCATGATTGCACTCACTTCCACAAAAATTACAATGTGTGAAAATCTCAGATGGAAGATTTACTATATTTAAAGGATTTAGCTAGTGCTCTTGATAATAAAGGTGCCAAACCGAATAAAAAGACGGATGAAGAATGGGCTAAAATGAATAGAAAAGTTGTCGCTCAAATTCTTTAGTGGGTCGATCATAGTGTGTTTCACCATGTTTCTCAAGAGTAAAGTGCTTACACACTATGAGAGAAGTTTGGTAGCATATATAAAAAAACTGCTCGAAATAAGATGATACTAATGATACGATCGGTAAACCACAAGTTACGTGGTGGTATTTCGGTGTAAGAACACACGAGTCAATTCTAGGATCTCGTGAACCAGTTAAAACCATTAGATGAATTCTCAAAGATGAGGAACAAGCGATACTCCTCTTGAGCTCTCTAATTGACAGGTGTGAGACTCTTGTTGTCACTCTCAACAATTGTGCTCCCGATGGCAAGGTGGTTATGAAAGATGGTCATAGATGTTACGATTGAACGAACAAACCCGAATGAAAGATGTCGGGACTGATCAATCATATGACCTTGAATCAGAAACTAACATACGAAGGGGTGGGCCAGAAATGAAGGAAGAGGTCGAGGTCAAGGTCAATGTCAAAATAAAGGAAATTCTGAAGTTCGCAACAGATCGCAAGAATGACGTATGTCCTTTGAAAACAATACTTGGTTTGAAGGGTATTGCAATTATTGTGATAAATGAACATAGAAAAAGAGATTTGTAGAAAATTTATAGGAGAGAAGCCCGAGACGAGTGAAAATACGAGCCTAAAAGATGGTAAGACTGTGATCAATGTGTCATGAGACGTCTTACCTTGTTACACACGAGGAACAAGAATCTTACATGTAGGTACTTGTGATGTTGAGTGAGTGGTTGATACAGCCGCATCATTTCACACCACTCCACACCAAAATCTATACATAACATATAAGCCTGAAGAATTTGGAACTGTGAAGATGGGAAACATCAGTTTCTCGAAGGTCGTTAGCACTGTTGATGTGCACATAACAACCAATTTTCGGATGCACATTTGTGTTGAAGGATGTTTGACATGTTGGGGAACGAATCTCAGATTGAATCTTATCTGCGATGTAGTTATGGATCATCAATGATATGATAATCAATTCAAAGAAGGTACATTGAAGTTATCTAAAAAAAAATTGTTGCAAGAGGTCATAGTTGTGGTTTTATTTATGAAATCCATGTAAAGTTGTGTCATGCAAGTCTCAATGTTGTTGAAGAAGAGACATCACCAAACTTGTGGCATCGAATGGTGGGCCAATTGAGAGCGAAAGAACTGACAAGTCTTGTTAAGAAATAATGCATTTCCATTGGCAAAAATGTTGCCTTCAGTTTCATTAGAAAGAATCATTCCGAGTTACTCAAACTTGTCCACTCCAATGTAGGGGCGTTTGTTGGTTCGGTTTCGTCGGTTTCAGTTTTGGAAAAGGTGAAGTTGTAAACCGAACAACACTACTTGAGTCGGTTTCGGTTCGGTTAATATCGGTCGGTTCGTGTCGGTTTTGGTCGGTTTTAACATGTTTTTTTGGTCGGTTTCGGTTCGGTCGTTTTTTTAACCCCAAAGTTGAAACCATAAACCGAACCGCCAATGATTAATCGGTTTGAGTCGGTTTCAATTTGAGTCGGTTTCGGTTTTGGTCGGTTCGGTTTTGGTTGGTTTGTCGGTCGGTTTCGGTTTTTTTTGTTCACTCTTACTCCAATGTATGTGGACTCATTGAAGAGGAGTTATTTGGATCGAGGAAGCGGATATTTTGTGACATTCATTGATGGTGCATCACGAAAGGTATGGGCTTATTGTCTAAAAAGTAAGGATCAAGTGTTTGATCATTTCAAATTATTTCATGCCAAAGGTAGAAAGAGAAACAAGAAAGAAGTTGAGGTAACTGCGTTCAGAATATGGAGAAAAGTACACTTCTCAGATGTTCTCGGTATATTGCGCTACATATGAAATCAGACATGAGAAGACGATTCCACGAACACCACAACACAACGGTGTAGCCAAAATAATAAATCGAACCATTGCGCGGAAAGTTCATTGCATGCTTAGAATGACTAAACTACCCAAGCATTATGGGGTTAAGCTGTGGTGATAGCTTGTTATCTTATAAACAAGTCACCTTCGAAGTTTAAGGGAACCGAAGGTGACCTATTTATAAGATAACAAGGTGTCTGCACAGCTTCACCCCCGAATGACTTGAGTAGTTTAGAAAGCGACGGTTCCAGAACCCCACAACACAATGGTGTAGCGGAAATAGTGAGTGCAACATGCTGAGAATTGTCGGGAAGTGCACTCTCGACAATTCAACTTCTTCCGTGTTTCTCTTTTTACCATGGCATGAAATAATTTGAAACGATCAAACACTTGATCCTTACTTTTGAGACTGTAAGCACATACCTTTCATGATGCATCATCAATGAATGTCACAAAATATCTACTTTTTCTACGTGACTCCTCTTTAATGGGTCCACACTCCACATACATCAGAGTGGACAAGTTTGAGTAACTTTGAATGGTTCTTTCTGGTGCAACTGAAGGAAACTCGATGTTGTTTCCTGACAGTGCTGCATGGATACAAGGCAACACCTTTGCCAATGAAAATGATTTCTTTCTTATCAAGAGTTGTCAGTTCTTTCACACTCAAATGGCCCAAGCTCTGGTGCCACAAGTTTGGTGATGACTCTTCTACAATAATATTGATATTTGGATGACACAACTTTACATGAGTTTTATAAATGGAACCACAAAGATGAACACTTGCAACAATCAAAGAAACTTTAGATAACTTTCATGTACCTTCTTTGAATTGGTTATCATATCCTTGATGATCCAGAGTTATACCAGAGATAAGATTCCATATGATATCCGGAACATTTTGAACACCTTCAACACAACTGTGCATCCAATATTGGGTGTTATGTGCACATCACCAATGCTAACGATCTTCGAGAAACTGGTGTTTCCCATCTTCACAGCTCCAGAGTCTCCAGGCTTATAGATTGTGAATAGATTTTGGTGTGGGGTGACGTGAAATGATGCGGCTGTATAAACCACCCACTCGACATCACGACTACCTACATGTAGACATTTTTGTTCACCATGTGTAAGAAGTAAGACGTCTGATGACACATTGACTATATTCTCAACATCTTCTAGGCGAGTATTCTGACTCGTTTGGGGCTTCTCTCGTAAAAATTTTCTACAATCTGACATGAGGGCATATGATTGATCTAATCCACTTTCTTTCTTCCATTTCTGCCTTCCCTCGTTGGTTGTTTTGTGACATGATGGCATATGATTGATCATTCTCGGCTTCTTTTCTTAGGGCTTCTTCGTTCATCGGGACATGTGTGACCAACTGCATAGTCACCTTGCAATTGGGAGCATAATTACTTAGAGTGACGACAAGAGTCTCCCAACTATTCGGTACAGAGGTTAAGAGAAGTGTTGCTTGTTTCTCATCTTTGAGAACCCGTCCGGTGGTGCTAATTAGTTCATGAGGTCCTAGAATTGAATCGATCACAAATAGTAACCAACCAAGGTAACAATACTCTCAGGCAGGAAGTGTACCACTTTGTCCACAATGCAACCGACATCATCGGGGAGAGTGTTGAAGAGCTAATAGGACTTGTTTTCAATGCGGTCAACTAGGTCATTTGATGAAAGATTGCAAGATTGCCCGGGACAGGTGGGTAATACCACCTCATCTGCACCTACACCACCAAAACAACAAGGTAACCAACAGAATCCGGGAAACACTCGAGTTACTTCAGACACAGTTAATAGACCAATCCAGGGACGGGCCCCAGCACGCACATATGCAATGCAAGGCAGGGAGGAGGAGCCAAACAATGATGTCATCGTTGGTATGTTCACTTTATATTGGACAAGGGATTCATTAGGCCAAGTGTATCTCCTTGGGGTGCACCAGTATTGTTTGTCAAGAAAAAAGATGGATCTATGCGCCTATGTATAGATTACCGACAATTGAATAAAATGACCGTGAAGAATAAGTATCCATTGCCCAAAATAGATGACTTATTTGACCAATTGAGAGGGGCCAGTGTATTCTCAAAGATTGATCTTCGATCTGGATATCACCAATTACTGGTCAAGAAGGATGATATTCCTAAAGCCGCTTTTCGTACCAGATATGGCCATTATGAGTTTCTAGTTATGCCTTTTGGTTTAACCAACGTACGCTCCAACCGCCTTTATGAGTTTCATGAACACAATCTTCCAGCCATATCTTAATCAGTTTGTGGTGGTTTTCATAGATGACATTCTGGTGTACTCAAGGACTCCCGAGGATCATGTAGAGCATCTCAAGATTGTATTACAGACGCTTAAGGGACATCAACTTTATGCTAAACTGTCAAAATGTGAATTTTGGCTCAAAGAAGTTACATTCTTGGGCCATGTTATTTCTGCAGGAGGTATAAGAGTTGATCCGACTAAAGTAGCCGTTATCTTGAATTGGAAACCACCAAGGAATGTGACAGTAGTGAGGAGTTTTCTGGGATTAGTTGGTTACTACCGACGATTCATTCTCCCACGCTGAGTTTGGGTTGTTTCAGTTTCGGCTGGACGATTCATTCTCCCACGCTGAGTTTGGGTTGTTTCAGTTTCGGCTAGAAGATTGATATTATTTTGGTTCAATGGTAGTCTGAAAATAAAAGACAATTAACCAAATACATAACAACTTGAAATAAAACTCCGATTATTACATTAGCATAATTTATTTTAAAACGGTGTTGGTTGTACCAACTTATTTATAACATGACAATAAAAGAAACATGTGAAATGCACTCTCGTCCAGATGTCTCATTGTCCCGGGGCTCCAGCTTGCTCCTCATATTCACCTACGTGTAGAAAAACTACACGCTCAGCAATGAATTGCTGAGTGGTACTATAATATAACATGTAATAACAAACTTGTATTTTTTTTAAGGCTTCTCAAATATGTGACAAAGAAACATTAATATATATCATTATAGTCAACTTACATAACTAAAACAACTGAGTAAAACATATTACACATTAACATCGTAGAAGTCCAGTTTAACTTAATACTATTATTTCCAATAATATAATTATAAATTTATCACTTAGAACATAAATCATGAGAATTTTGTCAAAAAGTCATATTCAAAGATACGTGTAAAGATTTCATATAATCTTTACCAAAACCTTCTTTTTAATTCGTGTCCTTTCTAACATGTCCATGACTTTTAATATGACTATATCACATAGAAATAATCATTAGGTTGAAAGCGTATATCTAATAATGGAATAACCGCACATAATTCTTGTTCAAATTCATAAACATTTTATCCAGCTTTATGAGTACTTCATCTTTATTCATTTATTTTAGCCTTTACTCTTAGGACTAGACTCTAGCTAGGGATACAAAGATCATCATATAAGTGGGGTTTGTGGGACTCTGACCGCAGTGGAGGAGCTGGGGAGGGGCATGAGGTGGCAAGTGCCCCCGCTTCGGGCAATTTTTTTTAGTACTACTACCTATAATATATTTAATGCCCCTCCTTTTTTCAAAAATAAATACCAATTAAAATAAAACATAAAGTATTTGAGGAAACGTACATGTCTCTAGGAGTACAAGTATTGGCCGCAACATACCACACTCATTTGAATGCAGGCGTAGATTGTTTTAAACATTTAATGACACATGGGTTGACTTTTCGTGGTTATAGTGAGCAAGAAAGTGTTGAGTTTGATGAATGTGTTGTCACATTTCTTGTAACAAAAAGATTAAAACATTCTCGAGACTATGTTGGATCTCCTCCTTAGTGGAGAAATTCATGACAATTTTAGAATTTTTAAAGATGTCCAGGATTCTATATATGTATGTAGAGAAGCATTGAATGTTCTACAATAATAATGTGGAGTTTTCTAGAGAAGTGTGAAACTCACTAAAATCGTGTGAAAGTGTGTAGAAGCCTCTAGAACATTTTGAGGAATTGTGGGTTTTTTTTTAATCCTTCCAAAAGATAAGAGAAGCTTGTGGATACTTTTTGGAAGAATCTAAATGTGTAGAGAATTTTGAGCAGAGCCCTTGAGTGAGTGAAAGTCAGGGTCTCCTTGAAAGAGGAGAATGAGCGCCTTCTTGTGAGAGAAAAAGGCTCAAAGATATCGTTTGATGAAGTGTATGTGATCAAGTTAGGTAGAGTGAAATAGTCTCATATACAAAAAGTAAGTGAGAGTAATACAAAGTGATATTGTCAGATTGGATCTTTGTATTGTGAGCGTGTGGATACATAGGTGTACAAGAGTCTATGAGCTCGTGATCCTGAAAAGGGATGAGAGTCGTGTTTTCCAACATAAAATTATTGTACAACATTTTGAACAAATTAAAACTCATATGATTGATCTACCAAGATTAAGATATTAGTCAAGCAGTATGTAATGAACTAATTTGTGGTAATGTATTACACTTTTATTGTTTTTATTATATGTTGAGCAAATACACAAAATTCTTAGCTTTCAGTACGCCCCCTCTTCGAAAAATCTTTGGCTCCGCCACTGCCTGATCGGGGTTGTATGCTAGCATACCGTGGGAGAACGAATCGTCCAGCCGAAACTAAAACGACCCAAACTCAACGTGGGAGAATGAATCGTCCAGCCGAAACTGAGACAACTCAAACTCAGCGTGGGAAAATGAATCGTCTAGCCGAAATTGAAACAACCCAAACTCAGCGTGGGAGAATGAATGGTCCAGCCGAAACTGAAACAACCCAAACTCAGCGTGGGAGTCGTAGTCAGTAAAACCAACTCGTACTCAATTCGTGGGGAAACAAAATTATCCAAGTTCTGCCTCCAAAACTTTAAACGTGGGTATCCAATCACTAGCTTCCAAATCCTAGAGTATTAAGGCACTTTCGTAAAATGTTTTATATATACATACAGTATTGGAAAATATAACATTCGTATATGGTCATGTTTTATGCTCTTCCGGCATACCTGATTCGCATTTCATATTAAATTGATTTTCTCATCGAACTGAATTATATACCTATTTATGTTACATGAGTTTTAATTTATACTCCTTGTTGAGTTTAATCCAACACGATATAGTAAATATATGTATGAACACTCAGTTTTTACGTGGAAACCCGAAAGGGAGAAAACCACGGGACTTTTTAGGCTAATGTCCAAGCCATCTCTTTCTCATTAGGACTCTCCTCACCATTACATAGTACATTTTGAGCTCCCATTAATGGAGTCTTGTAAGCTATTCTAGAAGAGGAAAGAAGAAGGAAGCGGATCCCCCTAATATGGAGGCTAAGCTCCCTATTTATAGGCAAAGGGGAAAGGGTGCTCTCCACCCTAATAGGCCAAACGGGCCAATATCGGGCCTAATGGGCCGAAATGGGCCTAGCTGCTCGGGCTCCGTACTGGATAATGTCTTGGGCTCCTGAACAGTAATAGGCCGGGATAATATATCCCAACACAAGTCCCCCAGTTTCTTGAGTAGTGAGTGCGCGAATCTGCTCGAGAAAGTATATCCTTGCCTGCGCTCTGCCTCTGTCTAGCTGGAACCTGTGTCTTCGAATAATCATAACATATGAGTGGATGTCCACACTCCTGAACGTAACCTGCCGGTGAGACACCCCCCTTCCCGACGGGGTCGGGCGAAGGGTGCTCCTCCACGGGCACGCTCCCCCTGAATGCATCAGGCAAGAGTAAAGGACTCTGACTTGAGCTTTCCAACGGAGAAGCTTAGAGGTCCATGCATCTATAAACCGACGTCGCGGTACTGTCAAAACATGACGCATGTGTGTATCAGTGTATGTATGAATGTATGAGGTATGATGCATGAATGCATGAATGCATGTAATGTATGGGTGCAATGTAAGAGAGAAGGAATGGGAGATGTGATAGAAAGCGGTGGCTCTCGTCGATAAACCGGGCATGTCAGCGCCGAGGGGCAGACGTGCTGCATAAAAGACGTTCGTCGCCATCCTAAAAGGGATGGGCGACCCTAACGTGAGCCAGACACGATGGCGCTGAGCGCTGATCGTGCTGCATAAAGAGACGTTCGTCGCCATCCTGGAAGGGATGGGCGACCCTAACGTGAACCAGACACGATGGCGCTGGAGCGCTGATCGTGCTGCATAAAGAGACGTTCGTCGCCATCTTGGAAGGGATGGGCGACCCTAACGTGAACCAGACACGATGGCGCTGGGGCGCTGATCGTGCTGCATAAGAGACGTTCGCCGCCATCCTGAAAGGGATGAGCGACCCTAACGTGAGCCAGACACGATGGCGCTGGGGCGCTGATCGTGCTGCATAAAGAGACGTTCGTCGCCATCCTGGAAGGGATGGGCGACCCTAACGTGAACCAGACACGATGGCGCTGGGGCGCTGATCGTGCTGCATAAAGAGACGTTCGTCGCCATCCTGGAAGGGATGGGCGACCCTAACGTGAACCAGACACGATGGCGCTGGGGCGCTGATCGTGCTGCATAAGAGACGTTTCGCCGCCATCCTGAAAGGGATGAGCGACCCTAACGTGAGCCAGACACGATGGCGCTGGGGCGCTGATCGTGCTGCATAAAGAGACGTTCGTCGCCATCTTGAAAGGGATGGGCGACCCTAACGTGAGCCAGACACGATGGCGCTGGGGCGCTGATCGTGCTGCATAAGAGACGTTCGTCGCCATCCTGAAAGGGATGGGCGACCCTAACGTGAGCCAGACACGATGGCGCTGGGGCGCTGATCGTGCTGCATAAGACGTTCGTCGCCATCCTGAAGGGAATGGGCGAGCCGAACCGTGAAGCCAAGTACGATGGCGCTGAGGGGCCGATCGTACTGCATAAGACGGTCGTCGCCATCCTGGAGGGAATGGGCGATCGGAACGTGAAAGAGACACGATGGCACCGAGAAGCCGATCGTGCTGCATAAGACGGTCGTCGCCATCCTGGAGGGAATGGGCGGGCCGAACCGTGAAGCCAAGTGCGATGGCGCTGAGGGGCCGATCGCACTGCATAAGACGTTCGTCGCCGTCCTGGAGGGAATGGGGCGATCCGAACGTGAAAGAGACACGATGGCGCTGAGAAGCCGATCGTGCTGCATAAGACGGTCGTCGCCATCCTGGAGGGAATGGGCGAGCCGAACCATGGGACACGATGGCGCTGAGGGGCCGATCGTGATGCATAAGACGTTCGTCGCCATCCTGGAAGGGATGGACGAGCTGAACGTGAGCTGGGTACGATGGCGCTGAGGGGCCGATCGTACTGCATAAGACGGTCGTCGCCATCCTGAAGGGAATGGGCGGGCCGAACCGTGAAGCCAAGTGCGATGGCGCTGAGGGGCCGATCGCACTGCCTAAGACGTTCGTCGCCATCCTGGAGGGAATGGGGCGATCCGAACGTGAAAGAGACACGATGGCGCTGAGAAGCCGATCGTCTGTCAGGACTTCATCCTGGGAGGAAGGGTGGACCTGTGCGTCGTCCCTCTGTCTGATCTGGGGAGCTGGTATTCGTCGTCCAAGGCAAAAGAAAGCCTGATGTTAGCCGATCGTCGTCGGCCACTTCATTCTTCGTACTTAAGTTTTGTAATTATTCTTTACATATGTTTTTCAGTTTGTACTTCCCGGCCAATAGCGCCGAGGGATAAGATCATTCTTTGCTCCGTGCTCTTCTGGCATCTCTCTCTCTCTCTCTCTCTCTCTCTCTCTCTCTCTCTCTCTCTCTCTCTCTCTTTTTTTTGGGAGTCTTTTAGTCTTCGTTCGTCCTTGGTTCTTGGTCCTATCAGCGTCCTTACTTCGAAGAGACGTCTGGTATCCTCGAAACTCGCAAGGAGGAACAGGTTTATCTACATCGAGATTCCCCCTTTTTTTTGTTCGTCCGTGGTCCTTTTAGTCTTACCGGCGTCTCTTGCTTCGAAGAAGACGTTCGGTACCCAAGGAACTCGCAGGGACGAACTGGTTTACCCTCACGGGTTCCCGACTTTGTTATCCCACGTCCATCGATCCATGGTCATTGTGGGATAAACAGGTTTATCTTGGCAAAGCTCCCTTGGTTCGTCTAGCCCCCTCCGCGTCTCTACTAACCTCTACATCGAGAGGCGTTCGTCTTCGGCGGTGGGAGAAGATCTGGCACGCCCGGGCAAGATTCCCTTCCACATAGGAGCTACCCTCCTCTTCTCCCAATCTTTTTTTTTTCTTTTTTTTTTTTTATTTTTGTTTTTTTTTTTTGTTTGAGGGAGGCAATCTATATTCTTTGTTCGTCCTTGGTTCTTGGTCCTACCGGCGCTCTTGCTTCGAAGAGACGTTCGGTATCCGCGAAACTCGCAAGGAGGAACAGGTTTATCTACATCGAGATTCCCTAGCTCTTCTTTGCCCGTCCCTGGTCTATGGTCCTACCGATCTTCCTACATCGAAGAAGACATTCGGTATCCAAGAAACTCGCAGGGATCACGGAATGTCACACATAATGGTGGTGGCATAGCGAACGAATATAATGACGAGGCGATGGAAATGCTGGTCGTCGTGCGAAGGCGATGATCACCCTCCTGAAGGGAGGGGTGAGCCTGATCGCTAACTCAAGAAGGTCGGCATTGGGAGCCGATATACAATGATCATAATGACGCTGAGCAGTCGGTCCTGATAATGGAAATGGCAATAGTGTCCGGTCAGGCCGATATATCCGAGCAACGGCTCTCATCCAACGCAGCGCGGGGATGAAACCGGTCTTCGAAAGATAAATATGTCGTGCCGAGAGGCCGAACATAACCTGATAGTGTCGGCAGCGAGAGGCCGACCTGAAAGAATCAAACAACGGTCCTCGTCCGCAAGGTGGCGGGGACGAGGCCGGTCCTCAAAAGATAAGCACGCCGAGACGAGAGGCCGGTCGTGGCATAATGGTGTCGGCAATGAGCGGCCGATCTGAGAAAATCAAGCAATGGTCCTTGTCCGCGAGGGCGGGGACGAGGCCGGTCTTCAAAAGACAAGCACGCCGAGCCGAGAGGCCGGTCGTGGCATAATGGTGTCGGCAATGAGCGGCCGATCTGAGAAAATCAAGCAATGGTCCTCGTCCGCGAGGGCGGGGACGAGGCCGGTCTTCAAAAGATAAGCACGCCGAGCCGAGAGGCCGGTCGTGGCATAATGGTGTCGGCAATGAGCGGCCGATCTGAGAAAATCAAGCAACGGTCCTTGTCCGCGAGGGCGGGGACGAGGCTGGTCTTCAAATGTGGAAAACACGCCGAGCCAGGAGGCCGGTCATGATATAATGACGTCGGCAATGAGAGGCCGACCTGAAAGAATTTAGCAACGGTCCTCGTCCGCGCAGTGCGGGAACGAGGCCGGTCTTCACATATGATAATCACACTGGGCCGAGAGGCCGGTCGTGATATAATGATGTCGACAATATGAAGCCGTTCTGAGCATCAAGCAACGGTCCTCATCCGCGCATCGCGGGGACGAGGCCGGTCTTCAAACATGAACATGCCGCGCCGAGAGGCCGGTCATGGTATGATGGTGTCAGACGGCCCTCGACCGTGACGATCTCCTCTAGGCCCTCGGTCTCGGAATGACGGGTGACCGTCTCACGATTCTCCGTCGTGGTAGTCCCTTCTAGACCCTCGGCTACAAGGTGTTCTCTCCCGAGCCATCGGTCTCTGGGGTGGGGATGCTCGTCCCACAGTTCTCAACCGTAGTGGTCTCCTCTAGGCCCTCGGCCTCTAGGTGGAGATGCTCGTCTCACGGTCCTCAGCCGTGATGGTCTCCTCTTTGGCTGGCCCTGAACGTCTTCAAGACTCAGGCCGAGCGTCTTTTAATCATTTCGCTCGAGCGCGTCGAGTGATTTCAGCTGCACAATAAGCGTGGTAACGGGCCGCACGGGCCGACAATATATACACACACATAACCATCTGCATGGATTTCTCTTTAACATCCACGATTACCGGCCTATGGGTCATCGTGACCCTCGGCCCGGCTCATCGTGCGGGGTTAAGGGACGTAGCAGCTTGCCGTGGGGCCACTTAGCAGCCTGCCGAACGTCTCATAAAAATAATCATTGGTCTGTGAGTTTGAACTCAGACCCAAGTTTGTTGCACTGTCCTCGAGTAATGAGGCTGAGTGCTTTGGTGCCCTCGGGCCCCACAAGCCGCATTTGGCACAGTCAATTCGCCTAGTGGCGCAGATGGTACTAGGGTACGCCCGTCAACCGAACACTTTGCGCCATGTAGACTAATGCGTAATCTCCAAATTAAAACGCGTCGTCGTGGCACTACCCTCCTGGAGACGCACAGATCGCTTAATTAAGCTGATCGAGAGTGGGCTAATCGGGCCCACCAACAATTAAATATTTAATAAATTAGTTGGCCGAACCAACTATCACTAGAGCTTCGCTCAGTATTATTTAATTCGGGACATTTTTATCCCCAATAAATAATAATGATGTATCAAGTAATAATACTGATGTTAACCTATCATAGGTCATTCAGTTATGCTTCGATCGCTAATTAAAGCCGATCGGGAGTGGGCCGACGGGCCCACCATAACCAGTCATTAACTTTAAATGACGGTGAAGATAATTATCACTAGAGGTTTACTCATTCAAGTTTTGCCCGGCATTATTTAATTTCAGGAAAGTTTATTCCCTAATAAATAATGGTGATAAAAACTAGCAACACTAGTAGTTTAAACTATTATTCAAGTACTTCAATCGGTAAAAAAGATGAGCAAGTGGTACTTAGCTGTAGGATAATGGAGACGTTCGGCATGTGGTATCCAGGTGCAATGAAATTCCAAGTGCGATGAAATTGTGGGCATCCTTATTAATTTTGACTTGATCAAAATTGTTCAAATAAGTTGACCCTTTAGGATGTTTTTACTTGGACTGTAATTTGCTGGTCTGGTCTGGTCTGATCTGGTCTGGTCTGGTCTGAACTGGTCTGGTCTGGTCTGGTAAGGTCTGGTTTCTTTGTATTTTTATAACTATCCAAGTCTGGTCTGGTCTGGTCTGGTCTGAACTGGTCTGGTCTGGTCTGGACTGGTCTGGTCTGGTCTGATCTGGGACAAATTACAGTCCAAGTAAAAACATCCTTATTAGTTGGCCACTCCTGCGGACGTTCGGTGGGAACGGCTTCAGGCGAGCAGCGAATAACTACGAGCGGTGTCTTCCCTTCCTCCCTCTTGCACGAATTGACCAGGTCAACAAAACCACTACGTAGCCAGTTAGTCTCCACATTTGACTATTTGAGTCCGCGGATAGGACAGGGCCACATCTCTGGTTGTTCCACCGCGCAACGTCTCCCAGCCCCATGAACTGCTCTTGGAATCCAGCTGGAATGCCTCGCTCGTGAACTGCTTCGGGTCGGCAGATGTTGTTGTTGCTTGAATCAATAACCCGAGCTCCAGAACAGCCATTGATGGCGGAAAGAACTCACCAAGCTCCATCTACCCGCTGGCGGCGTTGCTGGCGGCGTTGCTGGCAGCGAACAGGAGCGAGGCGCGAGTCTGCGACCCTCATCCAGTCGCGCCATGAATGACGATTTAGCCAGGGGAGCTCGAGCCCGGTTGCCTCAGGTCCCAGGTCCCCCAGCCCGATCCACATCCGGTTGTCTTCCCCAATCAGTAGAGCTCTGCACCAGAAAACTTTTCTTTTCTCAGACCTAGAACTTCTGGGAATCATTTTACCAGAAATCTTTCTTCATTTCCTTGTTGAAATCTGTCCATTCTTCTTCCCTCTAGAAATTTTTCTTCTTTTTTTTTTTGTTGCTCGGATCAGTAGCTTTTCCGTATGAAATTTTTTGTAGAAACTCAAGGACAAGAGAACACATGAATCTTTTTGAACAGATTCGCACAGACGGCGCTAGTGTTGAGTTTAATCCAACACGATATAGTAAATATATGTATGAACACTCAGTTTTTACGTGGAAACCCGAAAGGGAGAAAACCACGGGACTTTTTAGGCTAATGTCCAAGCCATCTCTTTCTCATTAGGACTCTCCTCACCATTACATAGTACATTTTGAGCTCCCATTAATGGAGTCTTGTAAGCTATTCTAGAAGAGGAAAGAAGAAGGAAGCGGATCCCCCTAATATGGAGGCTAAGCTCCCTATTTATAGGCAAAGGGGAAAGGGTGCTCTCCACCCTAATGGGCCAAACGGGCCAATATCGGGCCTAATGGGCCGAAATGGGCCTAGCTGCTCGGGCTCCGTACTGGATAATGTCTTGGGCTCCTGAACAGTAATAGGCCGGGATAATATATCCCAACACTCCTTATATATGTATACGTATAAAGGCACTGTACGTAAGTTTATATACTAAAAAAAACTACTCCCTCCATCCCAGAATTAACTTCGGTTTTGACTGGGCACGGAGATTAAGAAAGTGGGAAATGTGTGGTGGAAAGTTGTGCAGAGGAGAGAGAAATGTGTAAGAATGATTGGAACCACAAATCCTTTACTAAAAAGGGAAAGAGGAGATAAATTTGGGACGGACCAAAAAGGAAAGAATGAAGATAATTATGGGACGGAGGGAGTACTTCGTATAGACCAAAATAGACATGCATACCATGTGTATAATATGACACGAAATTTCATGTGTATTCCTATAATAAATCTCATATGACAACTGGCCGTATAAATACATATGTTAAACTAGAATTGTAGTCCTTGTGGGAATACTACCTGAACACGTAAACCTAAATTTACAATATAATATATAATAGGTGACAACTCCGGTACCCATTTAAAAAATGGGGTACCGTACCTACCATGCATTTGATTGGTTCAAATCATTATATGCCTTTTCATTTAGATTTAAATAATTCAACTGCATCATTCTTATTGGTCCATTTAGACAAAGGTACGGTACATTTGGGGTACTATAGAATCTACCTATATAATATCACTACTTTTTATGATATCAACAAACGGTATGGGTTGAAAGCTGCTAGCTTAGTACGTAGTATGTACTAGGCTGTTATAGTATTATTAAAATTTTAGCAGCAAATATATTTTATATTGAACCAATAGAATTTAGGATCTACTTCCTAGTTTTAATTCTTCTTAAAATGTATATCTATTCTCGGGGTAAATTTCAAATGTCTAGTTCATTTAAAAGCAATGAAATTCTTAATTGACACATCCATAATAACAGAAATATTTTAGTTGAATATGTCTTCAATTCGTACTTATTGACATTCTGGCCATTACAGTATATCAGTATTAGTATAGCTAGTAGTATTAATTTACGTCGGTGTACATTATATTAGCCGGATGCAGGGGCGGCCCTCGATATTCGAAGGCCTAGGGGCAAACAATAAAAAAATAGGGCCTAATTTTAAAAAAAATTGTAAAACACTTTTCTACCTAAATAAAAATGCAAAATAATAATATTTAAATACATTTAGAATAAAGAAAATACTTGAATTCGTTAAATTAAACATAGTCGAATAATGTTTTCAAAATAACCGAATAAAAAATTATTTAATGATAAATAACGCCCCGATACAATACACTTTCTAAGGCCGGTGTCATCAACTATAGCGTCATAATCAAGCTTTTCTAATACATTATTATGCTCAAAACTTAATATAGCTAATCAATTAGTTAAATTTATAAATTTAACTAATTGGACTGCACGTTAGTTCTTCCTTTTTTTCAATTTTGGGCCTTTTGCGTTCTTGGGCTTCCTGAACTTGTACAAAATTATTAATTTTGGGTTAAAACTCAGCCTACTCAAATATACTATAAAGAAATAATTCAAGGCCTAAAAAATTTTCATTTTTTTTGGGCCTAGGGCACCCGCCCCACCTGCCCCCCCCCCCCCCCCCCCCCAGGGCCGCCCCTGGCCGGATGTATAATTAAACACTAAATTCCAGTTAAAATTAAGAAGATATCCCATCTCAACTAAGATATAAATAAATACTCCGTAGTTTAGATATGAAAAATACATGTTTAGCATATACTATTTTAACTTTTACACATTTCATACATTCATTATGATGAAGTTAGCTAATAAGAAATATTTGTATTTGTAATATTTTGTACTCTACCTTTATAAAAAGATGTTTGGTGATAAGAATAGCAAATTGTATTAACATTAATTTCAATTAAACTAGAGTACACATACATTTCACATGATTCATTTTAATAAAATTGTGAATTTTACAACATTTTTTTATCATCGACTCATTTAAATTCTTTGAATTTTTTATTTTTTATGTGATATTAAAAATGTTACTCAACTATAAATTTATTTCTTGTAAGAGGCAAATTATTTTCTAGTGGTTGAAAAGTTAGACGGTTTCATGTCATCAGTGTTAGTAATATAAATTATGTGTTAATTTATAATATTTTAGTATTTCTTTTTGGGATAAGGGTCAGATAGGGTCTCGAACTTGAAAAAAATGTCAAATAAGGCCATATTTAGGATGTTCTGTCCGGCCGACGCCATTTGGGGCGGTTCCCGATGGAATTTTTTGATGAAATTTTTTGAGAATCTTATTCATTAAGTCTAGTTTACTCATATCAAATTTGAACTAAAACTTCAATCAGGAAGGCATTCAAATGAATTCTTGAAGATAACTGTGCAGTTAAAAGCGCAATTATCTTCAAGAATTCATTTGAATGTCTTCCCGATTGAATTGGTAGTTCAAATTTGATATGAGTAAACTAGACTTAATGAATAAGATTTTCAAAAAAAATCATCAAAAAATTCCACCGGAAACCGCCCCAAATGGCGTTAGCCGGACATAGCAGCCTAAATATGGCCTTATTTGACATTTTTTCGAAGTTCGAGGCCCTATCTGACCCTTATCCCTTTCTTTTTCTATATTTTATTTACCTTCACATTTTATTTAAATAATAAATACAAGAAAATGAGATGGACTAAAAAATGAGATGGACTACTATTTTCATTTTCTAATTCTAAAATATAGAACTTGATCAAATAAATTAATAGTAAACATATGTAACCGAATCAAATCTAACTAAATTGGATCTAATAATTTTCACTTTGAGAAATTGAACTTGAAACTAAACCGAACCGAAACAAAACCGAAACACAAATAATGTTAGTTTGGTAAAATATCTCACAAACCGAATAAATCGAGATTGAACCTAAACCAATTAAAATTAGGGGGTGTTTGGATCTGATTCTCAAAACTGATTCTGCTCTTTCAGGAAGCAGAAGCAGAAACTGGAGTGTTTGGGTGAAATTCTAGAAGTACTTCTGGAGCTCTAATTTACTCTCAGAATCAGTTTTTTTAGAAGCTGGGAGGTACCAGCTTCTGAAAACTGATTCTGATTCTGCTTCTGCTTTTAAAAAAGAAGCAGAAGCAGAATCAGTTCCAAACACCCCCTAAACTGTAAACTGAATTGCCGGCTCCTAATTTACACAATTGCACTTGCATTCAGTACATATATTATCAGTATGCTAACAGACTAAAAGTTATGATGGTTGGTTATGGCAGTGGCACTGCCGCCGGCGCCGGCACTATTCGAGAACACGGTGAGTTTGGTAAAAAGAGCTACAAAATCGTTCACGACGTTACTTCTCTCGCTGATGCGATCCGCACACTGGGACATAACCGCGGCCGTGAGATCCATCGAAGCCGCCTCATCTCCCGGCGCAACCACATCCACGGCGGACTCGATCATCGGAACAAACCACGCAAAGTACGCATTGGAGTCGTACGTGAACCGGAAAATGTTCCAAGGGTTCGACCACGAGACATTCTACATGGACGGCAGCCTCTCCTCCCTCCTCAACCCGGACCAGTACCGGCGGGAGTGTTTCACTCAGTACCGAGACATGAAGGCCATGGATCCAGCCGAGCTGCTGGGGATACTCCCGAATTGCGGCTTCGGGAACTTCTGCTTCAAAAAATATCTGGCGATGATCCACCCCAAAACGGAGGAGTCTCTGTTCGGAGATCTGGAGCAGAGGCGGCAGGTTCTGGCGGGCAACCACCCGCGGAGCCAGTTCTACGGGGAGTTTTTGGAGCTTGCGAAGGCGGTTTGGCTGCTGCATCTATTGGCGTTTTCTCTGGAACCGCCTCCGCCGAGCCACTTCGAGGCGAGTAAGGGATCGGAGTTTCATCCGCAGTTCATGGAAAGCGTGGTGAAGCATTCCTCTGGAGGGAGATTACTAAATGTGGGGTTAGTTGTTGGGTTTCCGGTGAGTCCTGGGTTTAAGCTTGCAAATGGGTCTGTTGTGAAGGCTAGAGTTTATCTGGTTCCCAGGTGAGGCTAATGAGGAAGAGTTGTTTCTTAAATGTGTCAAATGCCCATAATTAATCAGACACATAACACTGTGAATCAATAATTTCAGTAATTTGTTACAATGATGATCCCTTTTATGCATCCTCTTTCACGTTCTTTCTTATGACTCCTCTTGTTTTTCTAACCTTTTGCATTGCCTTTGATCTTAACCACCAATATCTAAAAGAGGTCAAACAAATAGACCATGATTTTAATTAGTGTAATACTTAATAGTTATAAATTCTACTTTTATAATATTTTCATATCATTTTTATACTATAAATTAAATAACTTTCTATAAAAACATATAATTGGCCAAAGTTGAACTTGGTTGATAAAAAAAATCAAAGATGCAAAGTTCTAAGAGACGGTGGGAGTATAAATTAGGGAAAAGGGGAAAATAAGGTCACGTACTAACCAAAAAAGGTCAAATAAGGCCTTATTTATGAGACTCTGTCCGGCCTTCGCCGTTTGGGATGGTTTTCGGTGAAATTTTTTGATGAAATTTTTTTAGCATCTTATTCATTAAGTCTAGTTACTCATACCAAATTTCAGCTAACAATTCAATCGGGAAGGCATTCAAATGAATTCTTGAAGATAATTGTGCTTTTAACTGCGCAGTTATCTTCAAGAATTCATTTGAAAGTCTTCCCGATTCAAGTTTTAGCTAAAATTTTCTATGAGTAAACTAGACTTACTGAATAAGATGCTCAAAAAATTTCATCAAAAACTTCCACCGGGAACCACCCCAAATGGTGACGGCCGGACAGATCCTCTTAAATGAGACCTTATTTGACCTTTTTTGTTAGTACGTGGCCTTATTTGCCCCTTTTCTCTATAAATTATAATACTCAAAGACAGTAATAACACTACTTGAATTGGTTGCCTACAAAAAAAAACAAATAGAATAATTTCGGAGGGGCATGATAACAAATTGTTCAACATATCTACGAGTGTACATAAACTATGGATGAAAGCAATGAAACAAAGGTGACAAGTACATTTCTAAAATATGGGGTACCGTACCTACCATTCATTTGACTAGTATCACACCCGTGCGACGCACAGGACAATATTTTGTTGGTTTTAGTTATGAGATATACATATAAAAATATCAAAGCAGTCACATTTAATATAATAAGATTAAAAAATAAATGATATGAGAGATATATCAATAAGTTGTTGAATTAAAGAATTAAGAACATTGTAATACAAAACAAACTAAACGTTTTGAAAAACTTCTGCGTATAAAACATTTATCGTTGACTTACTGGAGGCATCATCGGGGTTGCATATCAATATTGTCAATCTTTCATGTCTGGTAACTCGGGAAACAACAACGTAGAGTTGACCATGACATAATACCGGATTTCATAAATTTCAACAAAATCAATCAATTCAGCCACTTCTTAACCCACACTTTTTAGGTGAAAAATTAGCTGATAAGCCTGATAAGTCGGAAAACATGATCACAAAAAAGGTTTACATTCTTTGGCCCGTTTTTCATTCCTTTACCCGTTTTCCATTAAACCCACACAACTTGGCCCAACTGATTAAAATTTTGGCCCAACGGATTACAAATTTGGCCCAGAAGGTTAGATAAACCTACTCTACCCTAAATATACGCTGCCAGTCCAAATGAGTTCTCTAGAAATTTCAGCTTCTTCATACGTAACTTCACCTTCTCCCTCATACCCTATCACTCACTTACACCCATCGGCGTCCATTATTACCGATACCTTCCACACCCTATACAACTTCTTAACAGATACTCCGTATCTTGAAGTCGAAGGAGGAAGGTGAGGCCGGTCGGTGCTGAGCCACACTGTAGCTCCCTTCTACCGGTCAGGTATCTCTGATTTTTTTTCAAACTACTCTTGTTTTTTCAACCTTATTTGTTAATTATTGTATTGTTATAGATCTCGATGAACTGATTTCTTCTTCTTTCTATCTGTCGCCGGTCATACATCGAAAACAAACTGGACACATGCCTTGAGAAATCGATTGCCTGGAATGAGATAAGTTCTTCCAAAATGTTATATGTTTATATTTTCAGATCTGATGGTTCTTCAAATTTATTTATCTGTTATTATATATTAAACGTGTATGTTAGTATAAGTATATTGACCGATGAGTTTTAGAAAAGTTTTCATCAAACTTTTTTGTCTTAATATTTCAGACATCACATATTTCTATGTTAATCTTGTGTATTAATATAATTTTTACTTGGATCTGTTTCGAAATGATGTTTACGAAATTACCCCAGTTTTTAAAATTCATTTGCCAGTTTTTAAATGAGGGTGTGATTGCTATTTCTGGAATAAACCGATTTCCTTCAATTATTAGTATAGTTTTAAGCTTATAATACTAAATATTATTATTAGTACTATTGTTGTTGTTGTTATTATTATTATTATTATTATTATTATTATTGTTGTTATTATTATTGTTGTTGTTGTTGTTGTTGTTGTGTTCCGTGAAGACCTATTTGGATTTCTAATCATTGGTCCTTGTACCATTTCAGGTTTGCCAATATTTTGTGGAAGTATAAGAACCTCAAAGAAGAAACTTAATAGGTTAATATAACTCCTCTACTTCATTCACCTTTTTTTATAAAGTGGACTGTTCTGTCAAATAAACACTTCAATCTTCACATTTTTATTTATTTGAAATCATTATGTGTTAAAACTAATGTAACAATTCACTTAATCTTTACCCATCCTTTAAAAATTTCGTAATGTAACATAGTTAATTGTCAATACCTATCTGTTTTTATTAAATATGAAAGATTGTGAAATTTTCTACATTTAACAAACGTATTTTCTTATATATATGTAAAATCTAATTTATATAATTTACAGTGTTTACCACATGTTCAATTTAAATTGAATTCTGAGGATATCAAAAGTATTCTGTAACTACTCTTGTTGTTCGGGTTTATTTTCAAACTGATTTGTCAATTCATTGTATGGTTATAAAGATATCTGAACTAATTTCTTTTTATGTCTATCTTCGCAGCTCAAACATTGAGAAGAAGTTCAAGCATGGTCTTAATATTCAACCTCCGGTAATTAGATAAGTTTTATCCAAAACTTTTTGTCTTTATATTTTCAGATCTGATGCTTTTGGATATGTTTTCGTCAAACTTTTTTGTCTTACATCAGTTCTTAAAATGTATTTGTCACTTTCAAAATCAGGATGTAATTGTTATTTCTGAATGACTAAGAAATCTACCTTAAATTATACTGTTTTTCTAAATAAATTTGTTCCAAAATGTTAAAGATAAAGCCAGAAAAATTTGTCCCAAAATGTTAAACATAAAGCCAATATGAAGTTTATCTTATTATTGTGGACTTATTGTGGACTGTTAAGAAATACTTACTTTTCTCATCATTGTTCCTTGTACCATTTCAGGTTTGTCTGCTGTGGAAGTAAAATAACAATAAATCAGAGAGATCCCTACAATTCCTGGACCTTTGATTAAAAACTTCATAGGTTAACATAAATCCTTTACATTCATTCACCTGTTTTCTAAAAAAAAAACTTTTAAGTACATTTCTATATTCTCAATCATTTCCTTTTATATCGATAGAAATAAAATCAATCTGAAGTTCATCTTGTTAGTATGGTCTGCTAAGTAATACTTAGATTTCTCATTTTTCAGTTTCATCAGTTTCAGCTTTTAATAAAAATAAATTATACTATCGTATAATATATACACCTTTTAGCATATGTTCAATTTACATTTCTAAGAATTTTGAAAGTCGTAAAAGATAAATACACAATAGATTTATAATAGATTGAATTGTACCTGGAGTACTGCTTCTGGAGGGCTTGCTTCCAATGGTCTTTCTCCTACTTGGATTTGTGATGACATTTTCTCGAATATCCATTTCCTTATTCTTTTTCATCATCTGTCTGTAATTGGAGATTTTCTTTGTATATAAGCAAAAGCATAATGAATCTTGTAAACAAATAAAAGAAGGAATAATTTTAATTGGAACGAAGGGTGTAGAGAAGTACCGGACATTCTTGGATTTCTTGCTCTAGAAAATTTATTTTCGAGATCTGTGCAATGGAATTTTGTTTGGCAGAATTGTCGTCATGATAAAGTTCTTAGAGCACTATTGGAATTCCTAAAATTCACTATTTTCCTAAAACGTACTCCGTATTATAGTAACGTAATATGGCTGTAATATGACAGAAGGTGAGAAATATACTGCAACAATGCCTGCGCTTGAGTTTGATAGTTTGAATCCTCTCTTATGCAGAATACATATAGTTGTGCGAATGGGGGAAACTGTCGCAGTCATGGCAGAGAGGTCGTGCAATCGTGATTCAATTGTGCGACTACTTGTTGAATTAGTAAAGCAATAAAGATTTGACACGTGCCTGATTCTGAGAAAAGCAAGGAATTGTAATCGTGAATGTTCTGTTATGTTTTCAATTTAATCATCTTCTGACACGTGTAATAATCTAGTGGCCAGAATTGTTCACTTTGTTCTCACGATTCTGCTTTTATATATATAAAGATTGGACCACATCACTTTATCATTTTTAATTTAGATTTAAATAATTCAACTACTACATTCTCATTGGTTCATGTGGACAAATGTATGGTACCTTATGGGTACCATAGAATTTACCTGAAACAAACATAGTGAAAAGAGAAAATTGTCCGACTAAAACTCAAACTTTTTCACAAAATAGGACCACATGTATGTTTTTCCCTAAATAGGACTAAACTTACCTTTTTTACCCCTAATTCTATTTAATGAATTAATTGATCTAAATAATAGCCCCCTAGCTTCCTTACACAACCAAGGTAGTCTGTCGGTGGCAGGGAAGTCCGTGGTGGCGGCGGCACTTTGGCAGCCGGTCGGCGGTGGATTCTGGCGGCGGCGGATTCTGGCAGCGGCGGCAAACTCCGGCAATTAATTAACCCAATTAATTGTCCCCCTAGTTCTCTTGCACAACCAAGGCAGTCCGTTGGTAGCGGGGGCGGTCCGGTGGTGGTGGCGGCGGCGGCGGTGGCGGCGGGCGGCAGAAATGTTGCAAGACCTCCAGAAAACAATTCTGGAAATTTTTCCGGCGGCGGTGGCCGGAACTCAGGTGGTCGACGGCAGGCATCAGGCAGCAGTTCTGGGGCAACAGTAGGGATATTTTGGTCCAATCACACATAAAAAATCCTATTTAATGCTAGACCTCATATTGAACTCACTGATATGGATTGTGTAAAAACTAAAAAGTGAAACTAGATGTTGAATGTGTTTGACTTTGGGGTTTTTAAGGCTATTGATTCATTAAAACTTCAAAAACAACTCTAAATCTATCATGAATTAAATGGCAAAGTTCCCGAAATAGGACTAAAATAGTTTGAAAATTCCAAAATGGGACTGTCATGTTTTTTATTCCCAAAATAAGAGTAATTACTGCCAAATTTGGAAAATACTGTCATGTTTGAAGTCTGGTACTGCCAAAACATGACAGTAATTTGTCCCATTTTGGGAATAAAAACATGTCAGTCTTATATTGGAATTTTCAAACCTTTTTAGTCCTATTTCGGGTAATATTTGGTGAGGAAACACCTCACACCTTAAATGAGGTCTTCTTAAGCTACCTAAATGTAATGGATGAAATTTTTTATTCATTACCTACAGTGGTGGAAACAAATTCAAATTCAATGGTATATGTTAGGAAGAGAATTTTTTCTTTTTGAGCAAATGAAGAAAAGTAAACCCAAAAATGTCTAAATCATTCAAAAAAAAAAATTAAAACATACTAAGATTAAATCGATACCATTTCTATGCATAGATATGGTCTAATAAAAAAAATCCAAGGTGGTTTCTAGCTAGAATCCTTCCAAGCTTAACTTATCAAGCCTTTTTAAATTTATACTCCCATCTCTCGAGAAAAGAAGTCAATATGGAGCAATAGTCCTATACTCCTATGGATCATTTACAACTAAGTGCTGCTAATGAGATTCCTAGAAAGGTGGTACTATCCAACGGTCTCTTATAAGTTATAGGTAATAAGTACATTTTTTCAGGAATAAATTAATCCTAAAGTTTCCTAAAATTGAGAATTCACATTTGATTGCCAACAAAATGTGGCTGTTACGATTTTTTTTTTTGGCAAATGGCTGTTACGAGTTATGACCACACAGAATGTTTTGGTCGTGTGCTTTTGAGCTATTCTACCTATCTTAAGGCCAAGGAAAAGAAGGCCTAATCATGGATGGGTTTTAGGGGAATCGTCCCTTGACTTTCAAAATTTTATAATATGTATATGGAGGGTTCTACTTGTTAATCTCAACATTTTATTTATTGTCAAACATTGGTTATGATTTACATGGAGTCATGTTCATAATCACCCCAATACATACATACATACATACACACACACACACACACACACACACACACACACACACACACATATATATATATACGTGAGAACGTGAAAACCATGCACTTTTAACACATCTTGGTGCACTATGAGGCTCATCTATTGCACTTTTTAAATTTTGACAAAACGTGCTAATATCAAATAAATGTGGTGGCAGATTTCTAAATATTTTGTCAACATGAAAATGTGCAACATATACATGATATAGTGCATCACATCTGCTTAAAAGTGGAGTTCTCACGTTCTCACGTTAAGCATGGTTCTCATTTGAATCTATATATATATATAGAGAGTAATGATCCGGTCAGGAGCTCCTGACCGGAACCGCCGTCCGGACCAAGGCGTTTGGCCGCCTTCCCGGTGGCTTTTTTTGATGAAATTTTTATGGAATGTTCTCCATCAAGTCTAGTTTATCCACAAAAAAATTCAGCCAAAAACTCAATCGGGAAGGTCGTCAAATGATTTTTGCAAGTTAACCGGTCCGGAAAATACATATTCCGGACCAGTTAACTTGCAAAAATCATTTGACGACCTTGCCGATTGAGTTTTTGGCTGAATGTTTTTGTGGATAAACTAGACTTGATGGAGAACATGCCATAAAAATTTCATCAAAAAATACCACCGGGAAGGCGGCCAAACGCCGCGGTCCAGACGGCGGTTCCCTGTCTGGACGTCCGGACAGGAACTTTTGTCATATATATATATATATATATATATATATATATATATATATATATATATATATATATATATATATATATATATATATATATATATATATATATATATATATATATATATATATATATATATATATATATATATATATAGGGTTAAGATCGGATACAAAGTATGCTTCCCTTACAAAATACAAAATCATCTCACCCGTCCAATATTATAAAATCAATGGTAGGATTTGTTTTAACCACTAATCATCAGACCTATTAATGGGTGGGGGAGATTTTTTAGCTCCTACTAATTAGCAATATTATGAGGGTTTATTTGGGGGGTTATCCATCTACACCGTTATTTCATTCACATGGATGGACAAGATTGATTTGCACTTTGTTAATTAAGATTGGTTTGTATGTGATCCTAAATCATATATATATATATATATATATATATATATATATATATATATATATATATATATATATATATATATATATATATATATATACAAGAATGATCAGGTCCAAACGTTCGGACAGAACCCTCTGTCCGAACATCCTCTTTTGGGGCTCTTCCCGGTGGAATGTTTTGATGAATTTTTTTAGCATGTTCTTCATCAAGTCTAGTTTGTTCATACCAAATTTCAGCTCAAAATTCGATCAGGAAGGCATTCAAATCATTTTTTAAGTCATCAAAAAATTCCACCGGGAAGTGGCCCAAACGTCATGAAAAAATTGTCAATTTAGTCTTCGTACTACCGAAAAAAGACAATTAAAATCATCATACTTAAAAATTCAAATCCCTGAACTATGAAATAACGTTCAATTGAGTCAAATAACGGATTTGCCGGATTACATGCCATGTCAGCATAGTCACTATTGATTGTGCTGGCACATGTGTGTCACATCTGCAGGTGACTTGTTGACGTGGCGGATAACCTGCTAATGGACTCAATTAAACAATTTTTTAAACTTCGGGGATTTGATTGATTTCTTTTAAAGTACAAGAACTTAATTTATGTATTCATGATGGTACAAGGACCAAATTGATAATTTTTCCTATTTTCATAATTAGATTTATATTTTTTTGCCCCTTAACATTTTTTAGTTTTCAAAATCAATATATAGTGTTACATAATATAATACTTGATAGGAGATATAAAAGAAGAAATGTCTAAAATAATTTATCATTATTTGGATAAATAAACAATACAACAACTTATTGGTTTAAGACTTAGGATACTTATTGTATAAAATTTCCTAGTTTTGTAATGTTAAATTATCTTTATTCGATAATTAATACGGGATTTTGTGAAATATCAAACGATATTAAATATCAGACAAACTAGTTAAACAGTTTTTATATAATGTGAAGTGAATCCAAAATACAAGTGTTGTGTGACATTAAATTATACCATTCACTTACTTTTTACTTTCTAAAAAAAGTATTACACAAATTATAAACTTTAACCTATTTTAGCAGCATTAATCCAAATATAATATGCACCATCTATATGATAGAATTAGCAACATGATATTATTCTAAAAATAAATAATCTCATGTGGAGTACATATGATTGTAATATTAAGAAAACTTCTCGTTACTTATGAACACCCTTGATAGACAAATAGTGTAATTCAAAAATCAATTCTTTATCCGATATGAATTATGCATTTAAACAAGGTGTAAATTATTTAAAAAGTATTGGTGGATGTGTACCTTTTAAACTCTTTATCTTAAAATAGTTTGATCAAATTTTATCTTTGCTTATATGTTTTCCTTTGATTTGTCATTTCTTGCGCTTTAGATTTGTCATTTCTTACGCTTTAGGATGTCTTTACTTAGACTAAAATTTTCTGGCCTAGTATGATTTGGTCTGGTAAGTGTCTGATTTCTTTGTAATTTATAATTGTCCAAATCTGGTCTGATTTGATATGATCTACGACTAAAAACAATCCAAGTAAAACATTCTTAATGTAGCAACATTTTTTTCTAGAGAACTTCAATTTTAAAATAAAAGTTATTTTTTCCCTTATGTAAAAATAAAAAGTAATAGATTTAAGACTATTATTGTTATTTTTTATTGAAAGACTCTTGCATTAAGATGGGATTAGTTTAGATCGAATTCAATCATCTGTGGTCAGGTTTGCCCATTAATGAATCAGCGAGTTATATTGCTTGTTCGAAGGTGATCGATTAAATCAAAGTCTAGTTTAAGGATTGACGATTGTCTGTGGTTCCTTACTTTTTTTAGTCCCATTCCGAATGGGAATGCTTTGATTTCAATATAAGTCCTTCCAAAAAATGTGTTAAAAAGCTATAAACAAAAGAGAAATGATTGACCACCTGAATAATGTATGTGACGAAAAAAATGGGAGAGAATGTATATGAAAACCAAAATACTTGCAATATGTTACAATCGTTGAGACATATATGAATAATGAAAAGTGAGTCGAGTAATAAACCAATCATCGCTTTTGCAAATCCAAGTCTTCCAGGGATTTTTCATTCTTGAAATTTGCAACAGCTTGATCAAACGTGCTTCTAACGTGTTGGCACATAACCATTAGATCCTGGCATGAATCTTTCAGCACCTCCAGAGCTGGATCACCTGCAGTTGCAACAAGCAACAGTTCAGAATTCTAACCAGTTTCCATCCAAAATAACTCATGAAAATATAGACCATTTTCCTACTAAGTAGATACATGCATAAGAAATATTGTCTGTTAAAAGAAAACTTCAGAATTATCATTAGAAGGTGAAACTGTTGTTGTATACTTGGATTGACTACTCCTCTTGGTCCATAGGAGTCATTAAATCACATGGACCATGACCTAATGGCTCAACAGCTACCAATCATACAATTGGACCATCATTGTTGACCAATATAATCTAGTTATTTGACATGTGGGTGTTGATATAAACAAGCAATGAAAAGGCAAACTCCACACTTTTAACATATCTTACCACAAAAAGAAGCAAAATAAAGGTTACAAGAACTTTCATATCTACTAGCTTGGTTTTAAAAGGTGCAAGGCGACATGAGGCGCTTTTGTTGAGTTTTGCCTAGTCACGAGGAGAAATGAGGGTTTTTTGTTGAATTAAGCCTAGGCGCGAGGCGACATGAGGCATTTTGTTGAATTTAGCCTAGACGCGAGGTGGATGCACGCCTCTCAGAACTTAGCATATAGATTTGCTAAACAATATTTATGCTACTCATACATGATACCCAAAAGTGATGATAACATCATAAAATTACTCTGAATCATTTAACAAGCATATTAAACACCAAAGATTAGAAATTGGAATTAAGGCAAGTGTTTTATTAAGGCGTCTGGTTTTAAGACTCTAAAAGATTAAAAATCAGTTTTAAGAGTTATATCCTAGTTATAATATAAAGGCCTCTAGTTAGCAATTGGAATTATAAAGTTAGTTTCAGTTTACTGGGAATACAAAACCAGGCATGCAACACATATAGTCATACACACAGATTATAAGGAATGATAACATGAGCACAGACTGCTCTATATGTGATGGGAGGCTTGGGAGCAATAAGGCAGTTGATTACAGGGAAAATAGTAATAGATTCAGAGAAGTGGGAAAACAGGAAAAGATTAACAGAAGAAGTCCAAGAAGAAAGGAGAGAAAAAACTTGCGTGAAAGAGGGACAAAATGTAAATCTGCAATGCAACTTATGAAGAGAAGGGAAGGGTTTGATTTGTGATGAAGAAATAGAGATGGAGTCGCTATGGACTCTGTGAAGTGGGAAGAACATGCACGCCTCTCATTTAACTCTAATGTAAAGAATACAGAACTCTAGAAAAACTTGTGACACATAATCGTCAAATTGATGACAATCCCAGATAAGCTGTTGCGGTTTTTTACTTGCATCTCTGTGCATTGCGCTCTGTCGCGCCTGATTCGTGCTTTTTAAAACTAAATCTACTAAGATGCAGAAACATAATAAAAATCAGACCAAGAAAAGTCATTTGCTCATTGGAGGAAAAAAAGTTCTGATCTTTACCAGTAGTCTGAACTCTTATATTAACTCGGGCCTCGGATGGATGTGGAATGCTGTAGCCACAAAGTACGATCCTGGGACTGCAAATATAAAACTTGGAATACACGTCAAGAAAATTATAGCAAAACGAGGCCTGTGTATATGTATGTGGCAGTGTGGGTGTGTATGATTATGTTTTTTTGTGTCCTTGGTTCAACTTTTAGAAATAGAACTTATGAGAGACTGTGAGTGATGCTTTGAATAAAAGTTTGTGTGAATAGATATTTTATCAATAAGCCATAAGTCTGTAACGTGATTATTTTAATTAAAATGGAAAAGATGATAATTTTGAACTCAACTTCTTAAGAATCTCATAGCTTTTACGTAGTACTCCCTTCATCCCTAATAAGTTTGCCAAGTTTGACCGGCACGGGGATTAATAAATGTTAGGGGCCCGGCCCAAATAGAGTATAATAAAAATAAAGTCTAGTATAAATAGAATGGGCTGGGGGGAAAGGGAGGTAGGCTGTTTAGACATTTGTCAGACTGGGACTTGGGAGATCGAGAGTTTCTCTCTTTCTTGGGGGCTTCGGCTCATTTGGGGGCTTCGGCCATTGATTTCCTGTAATCGTTTCTTGTTAACACTAATAAAGTTTGCCATTGTTCTTGTTAATTCTCTGTATTTCTTCTGAAACCCTAGACAGTCCTATCAATAAAGTAAAAACTATGTGGTTGAGGTTTGTGCAAAGGAGAGAGAATTAACTGGAACCACAAATTCTTTACTTAAAAGGAAAGTTAATGGGACATCCAAAAAAGGAAAGTTGGCAAAATTTTAAGGGACGGAGGTAGTATGTTTTATCAATCGTGTATGTGCATTTCTAAAAAACATATCAAGCATTGCTTGTTAAGAACAAGATATACCGGCACACCCAAAGTTGTTATTCACTCGACAATAACAGGATTAAGTAATAAGATTATAATCAGAACATTCATAAATGAGCAGAAGTTTCTTTAGAATTCTAAGTCAAGGCTTTAATAATAATAACACTGATAACAACAACATACTCCTGATTAAGAGCGAATCTAAGTGCATTGGCAAGTGTATGATCCTCATCTGTCAGAGAGAATGTTGCATTGGATAGATCGTTGAGTGCACCATGTTCCATTTATCCTATTAGCAAAGGCATGAAGATTAGATTAGACATGAACTGGCAAAGAATAGGATGCAGGATGTAAAGAATAAATGATTAGATTAGACATGAACTTGCAAAGGATAGGATGTAGGATGTAAAGAATAACAGTCTGTTTGATTTAGGGTAATAAAATATTGAACAACTAGCATATATCTGTTTGAGTGAGACGAGGACCGAATAAAATTACATTTAGGGGGTTCAATACCTGTTTGATTTAAGCGTTGAGTCATATTAGTTAGTTGCTATTGCTCTTAATTAAAGGAAAAATCAGTTTTAATAACAAGGAAAAATAGTTAGTTCCAAGGGCGTAGCAAGGACGGATGTTCAGGGGTCCGACTATAAACTAAAAACACTATATAAAAACACCATTAAAATTCATAATAATATTTGTAAACAGTACACACTAAATCACTAACACAAACTAAAATAACAAATAAAATACTTAAATTAAAATCTAAATTGTAAAAAAAAAAAATAGAGGAACTACCCTGAATGGAGAGAAGAAGCGAGCAGGAGCGGCAGAGTTGCAGAAGGGGGCGTCAGGGCGTGCGGCCTCCGGAGATGCGAGCGGTCTGTGGAGTCCTGCGCTGCGTCTAATTCATCGACCTCTGCTGCGAGCATGCGCTTGAGGGTCAACCCATTGCTTTTTTTAGATTAGCTATGGACCAATTTTTTACATATTTTGCACTGGGCCTGACTTTATTTTGGACTAGTTCAATTCCAAATTTGTTTGCAAATGTTTTGGCTTTAAAAAAAGCAGTTTTGAAAGTGATTTTGAAAAAAAAAGGATTAATAGTAAATGTCGGTAGCATTTCATAAAATATGTGTTTTTTATGTAATGGGAAAAGTAAAAAGCAGATTCTAGTCTTTGGCTTTTTTTAAGTGTTTAATTTAAATATAAGTTATCACTTGAAAACACCATTTTCAGCTTTTTTAAGCCACAAGCTGAAAATCGGAAGAAGAAGAAAAGACGATGAGATTTAATATTAGTGGTGTTGATAGTACAACTCTCGTCGTCACATATAAGAATTTGCATCCCACTCTTTGAGGTGACCCTTGACATGGCAACATACATTTGACTATGCACAAAAACAGTTTTTGAAAAATATATGCCACTTGATGCAGATATTCTCTTTGGCTTTTGTTTATTATCATGGCAAATGGAACAACGGTTGAGAATTGCTCATGTCGAAATTTGCAAGGAATTGTGCCATCTGATGGGACCAATATAATGATAATCACGGAATCAATTTTTTGTACCAATACTTTTGTCAAATTTAACATTCGCCGGTAAAACACATTTATTCCTCCAAGTAATAATAGGAACACCAAATTTTTACTCCCACTAATGTATGGTTCCATATCCGTGATGCACAATGGTGTTCAAAAACTCTTGATTATGCACTTCACTATATCCCCCACTAGTGTTGCCTTCAAGCAAGTATGTGCTGTCAAAACTCAAATATGTCTTCATTTCTCCAGGAACCAATAAAATCATATAATTATTGATACTCTCAATAATTATTGATATTCTCTATAAAATCATATAATTATTTGATGGTGTTAAAATAGCTCGTTGCTGAAAATATGACGGATCATCAATATTCTCCAGAAATGTCGGAAAAGTGCTAGCAACAATTGAATCAACAGGATCGCCCGAAGTGGTAATAAGCATATCATCATGTATATATGAATTAATACCTCTTCATCTCTAACATTCTAAATATTTACATCTCCTGTTTTGAGGACCAAATTTGAGAAACTTTTAAATTCATCAAAATTACTCTATAGCCTCATATAATTTAAAAGTTTGGGTGGACAACTAAATTACTCGTTGAATAACTTGAACGGGACAACTAAATTACTCTTTGAATATCTTGAGCGATATTAGTGCATGTTCGGTAGGCATAAGTCCTTACCTTATAGCTTATGTACTATTTAAAAAGTCTCTACAAGTTTATAGTTGTATGTTTGACATAACAATTTATAAGACTTTTTAATAAATTAAAGATATTTTTTGAGATGTTAGATCGAGTAGCATCTAGGAGAAGTATGTAAGGATGACACTCCATTCTTGAGACCCCCAGAATCGACTGGGCAATAATCTGGGAGAATGAAGTTGAACTTTGATCACACTCTGATGGAAAGAAAGTGGGGTTCCATCTCAAATTATTGCTTGGATTTTATTTTATAGAAAAGTCTTTAGTTTTTATTACTAGTTAGTCTCAACACTTTGTATACTAAACTGAACTAAATCAAACAGACTATTTTTTATCAAACAGTTATCACTTTTTTTTAAAATATTTTTAGTCACTTAATGCTCACAGTTACTAAATTTTTATAAAAGTATCTTTATTGCTAGTTGTGCCTAACATGCTCCAAATTTTATTCCATACACTTTAGACTATTGACTACTCCGTATGTTTTTCATTCCTTTGATTAGATTGCATGATAAGAGTGAAATGATTATTTAATAACTAATCTAGTTCTTATTCTAAATGTATTGAAATTCTCTTTCAACGTGTGTGGTATCCATATATGATACGAGTGAAATACTCTTTCAATACATTAACGGCAAATCTATAAAAACCTCCAAAATATCTTATAATATGAGATTACATTCATTACTCTTTCATGAGCGGGATGCAAATTATATTGGAATAATTGACAGGAATAATCCCAATTATGAGTGGTCTGTTTGAAATAATCCAAAGTGTCAATTATCTCAAAATAATCCCAAATATTGAAAAATCTTCTCAAAATACTCTAGTGACTTATGATTATCCGTAAACAAGTTATAATATTTATGAGTAAGTGGATTATTTTGAGAAGATTATTCAATAGTTGGTATTATTTTGAGATAATTGATACTTTGAATTATTTCAAACAGATCACTAATAGTTGAGATTATTCTTGTCCATTTTTCGAATTATATTCTTGCATTTCAGTTTTATTCATTTATGTTCCTTTCCATTTCCAACATAAACATTCTTTATTGAGTATTATTCAATCAATCAATAGTTCAATACATGCATAAGATGGAAATAAATGCTCCATCCTAAATTACTTTCGATCTACACTCTTGGGCGGGATGCATATTCTAGCATTTTATATTAATTTCACATGAACTATATATTTCACCGTGTGGTGCAAGGATGAAAAATACAAATATTATAAATGTTAACATATCAATGAAATTATATATCATATTATGCTTATTACCATAAAAGTAATAAGGCTAAAGGGTCAAATAGGCTAAAGTTCAGTTACTTTCATGTAATATTATGCTTATAAATCATAAGGCTAAAGGGTCAAATAGGCCCATGTATCGGTCGTGTAAGATCAATTCAGTCACTAAACTTAAAGAGATCAATTCACGCCCCGAACTGACAAAAATGGTTCAAATTTCATTTTTTACAGGTAAACAACTAGTCATTTTTTAATTGTTTCTGTTTTTTATTTTCGATTTATTGTAATTTTGACACCTTTTAATAGTTTAGGGGTGCAAATTGGGCCTTTTTTACCGGTCGTTAACATTAAAAATGAAGTTTTAACCCTTTTGTGCCAGTTCGGGGTGTGAATTAGACCTTTTTTTAGTTCAGAGACGGAATTGAGCTTACAAAACCGGTACATGGGCCTATTTGACCATTTAACCTAAATAATAATAATTAAATAATCTAAAAACTTATAAACCTCAATGAAGGTTATATCCTTTTGGGAATTTAAAAAGTGTTGGTGTAACACATTGTTATGAGTGTTTGTACACTATTCTTTCATATTTGTACAACCAAGTAGTACCCTTCCGTTTCTTCCTAAAAACGAATACCCTTCCGTTATCCTAATCTACTAATCTTCTTCTCCCGTTACTGTCCGCATCGACGGACCCAAATTTCCTAACGTGAGGTAGAATTTCGTGCGTCATTTCTGTGGATGTTACTCGCAGTTTGAGAAGAGCAGGGAGATGAAAAAGACGGAAGAAATAGAAATAAGAATGAAGGCCAAATCGCTCGACGCCTTGGTTCCATGTTTTCCTCAGATTGGCGGTACCTTCAGTTTTCCTCATTTTGGCGCCTTTGATCTTTCAGAGATGATTTCAGCGACTAAACCAAGATGCATGCTGGGTTCTTGATGAAAACGGTTAGCAACACAAGAGGGGGGGTGAATTGTGTGTGTGTGGAACCGTGGCAGTTTTTCGCCGAGTTCTAGTGTGGGATAAAGGGAATTGCGAAATAGTAAAGTGCACAAGAATTTAACGAGGAAAAATCCCTTGGCTCAAATGGATTAAAAAAACCTCGACCTCCCTCGGAGGAATTTTAAAAAACTTCACTAAACAAGCCTTTGAAAGAGTTACAAGAGTGATTCTCCTAATCTACCCTTGAGCCTCCCCAACTCTATCCTCTCTAGGAAGAGTTATGCATCTTTACCTTGCGGGTAGAGAGCCTCTCAGCTTTATCACAAAGCTCTCACACACACTTAACCCGAGGCAGCTACTCTAGCCAATTAAGCCTCAATAATCCAAGTACAATATGAAAGGGAAAAGAGAAACTCTATCTAGAACTCCGAGCGGGCAGTTTCAGGCGCCAAGGACTTGATCCTTTTTTTTTGAATGATTCTTCTAAGTATTTTTCTCGGTTCAGCACGTCTTTCTCTTTAGCTTCTTCGATTATATATAGGCTACCTTAGAATGAATCCGTTGGAGCCTTCTTCTCTTGAATAAAAATCAATGCTTGATTCTTGCTATGTTATGATTTAAAAATCCTTCCATCTTGAGGCTTAAGTCAACGAACTCATATGGACATATAAGACAAAGATTAATTATCATAGAGGAGTAAGGAAATAATTTTATTCTCCTACCATAAAGGTGCAACGGGTTATGCAAAATATTTCCACCCCACTCAAGTAACTTAAAACAAGGAAGGCAATTCAAATAAAAATATCTCTGACAACTTTCATAAAGTAAGATATTAATGCTAAGCATAACTCAATCATTTTTAATAAGGAAGCCTTTTAAATCAAATTCAAAAAGTCATGGTCCACTAATAGAAAAGTAATGAAAAGACCTTTCCAATTTACTTATTCGTACCAAGAGTCAATCAAGCATGCACCTAATTAAATATGGAATATATTTCAAACAAAGATTTACCTTTTCTAATCTGTATGGAAAGGGAATATTATACCTACCATTACAAGCATGCAACGGTCCATGCTAGCCAACCTCCATATTCGAATTATTCACTTAATATTTTAATTAAGGGTAATTTTTTAGCAAAACATACAATACGTAAATGCTATGGTCAACAACCAAATATAATCCAAGCACATGTTATTCATGTATGACACTCATTCACACAAAATGGAAATAAGGACAGTTCTGTCTTCCGTTCCGTATGGAACTGAGGTCGGTTTAGTTCGTCGTTCTACCTACATGGTTAGTCATCAACAAAACCACATACTCAACAAATTCCCCCTTTTTGTTGATGACAAACATTAGGTGCCATAGTAAAGGTGTCCCTGCAGATTAGTAACAATTATAGTAGAGCATCAACACACAAAGGGGCACCAAGATTTTTCCCCCTTTTGTCATTCAACAAAAGGAATGAAATTAATGCCCAAATTAAAATATCGATTTGTTCCCCCTTAGATGAGGCCGGAAGGTCCTGCATGCTTTCTTC